GGTAGTGGAATAAAGCTTGCTAGAGAACTACAAGTTCTGTTCTCTAAAGTTTGGAGCACTGAGCAAGCCCCCTCCTTGTGGGGGGAATCGATTGTTGTCCCCATCTTCAAAAGGGCCCACGCCAATCATAGGGGCATAAACCTAATCCCGATAGCGTCAAGGCTGTTGGTGTCCATCATTTTCTGCTGATTGTACACTACGCGTGAGGAGTAGATCCACGAGAAAATAAAGTAGTTTAGGTGCCGGTTGTGGATGCATCCATTAAATCTTCACCCTCCGACAGCTGCTAGAGCATCGTCATGCCTACCAAAGACTGACGATCCTTGTATTCTTAGACATCCCCGTAGCCTTCGGCTCTGTCGATAGGACTGCACTATGGAACTGTTTGTTAAGGAATAGACTACCTGGAAAGTATGTCTTCAAAGCGTTGCATCGTCATACCTCAGGTCGGGTTAGGGCCTTTGGCCAACATTCGCCACCCCTCGCCGTCTCCAGTGGAGTTCGGCAAGGCTGTCCTATATCCTCATTCCTTTTCAACTTTGTCATACAGTATGTTCTGCAGAATGCTTTTTCTAGTGTTTTTCCTCTCCCCTGGACATGTTTATTGTGCCATGAAATAACATTCTCTATCCAATTAGCTGCCTTTAATATATCATGAATAATACTGACACCAGAAGCTCTACGACAGTTACGAAATAGTTTTGGATTCGAATATGTTTATTTTATTCAAAATGTAGGTTTCTGAATGATTTATTCTATTCAGTAATCTCTTAGGTTCAAAACTTTATGCCATGTTGTCGCGAAGTGATGCCGCTGAGAGTTCCAGGAGTGTGGTGTTTTCTGCAAGTGAAATCCGAAATTTGCATCCATGCTTTGATACTCTGAGAACCCTTTGTGTTAGATGGGTTGAGGATGTGTGTGAAGGAGTCAATAAGCCTCAGTATAGTCGGCTATGGGCGTCTAGGGTTACTGCTGGTCACCCTTCCTTGGCATCTGGTGAAATGCCTCCATACGATCATGGGTCTGAAATAGTCTTTGCTGAGAAAGCTCTACTCACTACCTTCCCATGACGGAGGTGATGTTCCACTGAGATGAGAGGACAAAAAATCAATACCTAAGATGATAACAGGAGTGGTGAACCACTGGCAGTTCATCTAAGGGATTTCGCTAAAAACGTTGATCCCAAACCAACCAATAGGAGGCGTACGAACCACACACACCCATATTTTACTGCTTGTGGTAGTGGTCACCGGCTCGATTAGGCACCAATGTGTATTGGATACCTTAGACTTTTGAGCCCTTCCGAAGAACGTCTGATCCGATTAAATGGACCCCGCCTCTCCGACTGATTATACACTCAATAAAGCTGTGTTGTATTGTATTGTATTATGTCGTATTGAACATTTGGCAAGATATAGATCACCGTCACAATTCTGTTAAAACAGGGGGGGGGAGTAGGACATCTTTCGTACAAAACGCCAATTTAGATTCTTGGTGAGATACCAAATTCCTTTTTGTAATATCCCAGGTTGACTAGATACATTGGTGTTTTTCAGCAAAAGGATCAGCGGTCTGAAAAATATACTCCCAATTTATAGACTAACAGTTACGATCGAAAGATTGCAAAAGGACTTCGAAGCTTCAGCTAAATGTTTGTTGTCTGCGTCTAAATTTTAGTGTATTATGTAATGAGAATCAAAGTAAAATCAGAACAAAAAATATCAACTTCTATAGTTCTAGCCAAATGTGTGAGGAAGCACTTCTGATTCAGAGAACGTCTGAAATGGTCAACTAGTTTTCTGAATGAATAAAGGGCAAGTTTGTTTCACAACAACTCACGTACGGATTGATCAAGTCTGTAGATCTTACTGTGTTTGTATGGCTGCTTGCCCGATCCTCTTGCGTATGACTTGCAAACTCGCTCAGTGGACACCTATACGCGTGTGCAGATTCGCCAAAACTGGATGGAATTTTGAACCGAGATAGGCCCCACGTGTGGTGTTCGATTCCAGGTCGAATCGACATGTGCGGCCTGGGCCCGAGGGCCAGGCGGCAAGTCGGGAGGCGTGAGAACGCGCAAAACGTACGCGCGCACATACGCACGCGCACAACGTGATGGATGGCACGTGACAACTGCCTGCTTTCCGGGCTCACCACTCTGGTTCAGTCAGTCTGGCTTCGATTAGCTTAGAGCTTGGAGGGCGACAGGTCGGTGTATCAGAGGCGATTTGAATTTGCGAGCTTGCTGCGTGCAGAAGCGTGCTTTGCTGTCAAGGCATTAGGCGTGGGAAAGAGGCTTGGAAAGAAAGTCTGGAAATAGATGATTTATGGTTGCTGCTTGGTTCGGTCGCGCACGTATAAGCCGTGTGCGTGTTTGACTGACGGAAGTTACAGTCTCTATCCCCTAGTGTCAGCTCATTCAAATTAATGACAGGAGCAGTGAGGTGATTTGAAACGATGTTCGATATACCATAGCTGACATTTTCTTTCACCTCAACTAAACACATGATAATTAAATGTTTCTACAGTGTGACAAATGCAATTAGAACGACAAATAGGGTCAAACGATGTACTTTATTTATTATAATATATTGTGCAAACATTTGTGCCCACATTTCCGTCAATTACAATCTGTTCGTCGTTGAAATGAAAATGTAAAATGTCATGTGCAGCAAAGATAAAACTTAGACAGAAAATCATCTTTGTAAATTTGAAACTAGACTCGTCTAGGATCTTCATCATCTTGTCCGTTAAAATACGAGTCAAATATTGTATTGCATTGTACTGTGTTGCAATAAATTTCGTAGGCATAAAGCCTACGTTTCATTTAAAAATATACAAGTTGGATATAGGGATAAAAAATATTAAAAAAAAGAGATTCAAAACCCAAAACTGGTATCAAAGTCTGTGAAAATCTGTTCTTTGTCAACTGTACTCTTTCAACTTCAAGTAAAATCTGTTGTAACTTCAAGTGAATCCTACCAATTGCATCCCATCGAGAACCTCACAAGATGATTGGTGATGTAGTGATTCTAGCTAACGAGATGACTCAAACCTCCGGGTGACAAGTTACAGTTAGTGGACAGCTGTGATGAGTTAAGTTTTCCAGGCTACGCCAGCAAAATGCGTTCCACCTTGTTGATAACGAACCACAGGCCAAATGTGCCGATCAATCAGAAGTCGTACGACCCAGATAGAAGATGTACGAGGTCAAGAATACAAGCACAAGATAGATGTATATCCGGATAACCAATAAAATTCGTTTTTACATATTATTTAATCTCACTGATTTCTTTCGATAAACGAACTGCTGATTCTGGAGCCTTCTCTTTGCGTCTCGGTTACCTGAGATACCAGCGTGCAAATGCTAGTGTGATTCAGTGTTTCAGTTGCGTCCGTGCAACGTAATTCGTGAGCTATGTCTACTTCGACTACTCCAGTGATGTGTGATAGCATCACGGCATTTTCCGCGCATAGTTTGTAGCTGACCTTTGTTTGGTAATCGCCTCCCGAGATTACACCACAAAGGAACTTTATCTTTGAACGTCACTTTTTTCATCGCATAAACTTTACCGGGAGACTAATTAGTGTATATCGCTAGGCATTTCCCGTTTATGCTGGCTCCTGCGGCCAGAGTATGGTGACCACAACTTTCGGACCGTATGATGCTTCATGGCTATCAATGTTCAGTGGACTTAGCCGGGCAACAAAGTGTCCAGTTTGGTATGAATGCGCTTAATGTTGTGGCTTAAAAGTGTCTCTTTGATGTTCGTGTGTGACAAGTGCATGTCGTTCTTGTATTTGATCAAAATGCCTTCACATGTGCCGCAACTATATCTCGTTAGTGAGTAGTGTCTGAATTCAGTCTGGTATCGCTGGTCAAACAAAGACAGAAGCTGATCCCATTTCAGTAAAAAAGATCAATCAAAATTATCATGTTTTGATAATGTTAATAACACGAGATCCATGGATGGAACGGATCTCACTGAAATACTTGGGCGTCGTGCTCATGATACTTGAGAAAATTAGCTTGTCTTAGCCATGACGAATGAAAACCAAAACACAAAGGTGTTGGTGACAACGTTTCGATCCTCTTGGAAGGCCTTTCTCAAGTTGTTTCAGGACAACCTGAAGAAGACCTTCCAAGAGGATCGAAACGGTGTCACCAACACATTTGTGTTTTGGTTTTCATTCGTCATGGCTAAGATAAGCTAATTTTCTGTAATGAGTGTAGTAGCAGTAGTAGTAATACGCACGGAATTCGGAACGCCAACCACGCAATATGAATTACA